CAACGTTTTCATGCGGATATGCGTACACATAGCAGCAATGGAGGAGGAAGATAGAAGGGATATTGATATGCTATAGCTTACCCATTCGTCGCCGGCGTCGGTGATTGAGGGCGGAAAAGTAGAGGTCGTATGCTTTCTTGATTGGAGGAATGGGGTCTTATTCTGTTTATGGGTCTAAAAGAGTGGATGGGATGTCTTTTGATTTTCACCATTTAATTCAAAATTCAAATTTCAAATTGGAGAGGTCAACATCTGGGGTAAAAGATCAATGCAATGTCAGGCATTTGGATGTAAATGCCAATGCATTGTCAGGCCGATAAGCACATGGGGCACACCGCTCGAGGTGCTCACTTTTCCTTCAGCTTTTTGTTTAAATATTTTAGTATGATTGATTTTTATTTTGGGTCATGGGCGGTCATTTGGATATTTCTTGTGCTTGTTGGGCCGCGTCTGTTATGGCTTGATCGGTTCGCAATTTTTATTATTACATTAATTATCAAACGAGTCCATCGGGCTTGGGATGTCTTGGCTCATTTGATAATAGGGGGGCTAGATGATATGACATATAAGAGTGACACGGTTCACCCGGTATATATTTAGCTCGGTTCTTTATGAAATTAGTCTTGTCAGGTATGGGTTGCCGTGGGCCCATGAGGAAATATAAATATGCCCGACCCATCTCAGTTGAGGGTGTCACAGGCTCGGTATGTTAATAAGCTTAAATAGCAGGGCCCAATAAAGGGTAAAGAACATGTGTGGGCTTAGAGAGGGTAAGACGGAGCGGATAGAGTAAGGAGGAAGCGTAGGGGAGAAGCTAATAAATCAAGTATAAATAGGTGAAACATTGGGATACTAAGGTATGACATTAAAAACCCTATCTATGATATACGGCGCTCTTCTTGTAACCCTACTGACTTAAGCATCGGAGGTCTACCGCCGGGAAATATCCCGACGTCTTTGCAGGTTTACGGAAGCTTAAGCCACGGAAGGACTTGAAGAGCCGGTTCAAGGTGCACAAGCACATCAAATAGGGGCAAGTACGAAAATGTAAGCAACCTATTCAGAAAGACTTGTTTTCTAACACGGCACCATTATTTGATGTGGATAACATATATTTATCGCCCCATCGTGTTATGAAGCAAAATGGCACACGTTTAAGAAAGTCGAGGAAAATAAGTGTAAATAGGGGAAGTACGAAAAATGTAAGCAACGTCTTCGAAAAGACTTGTTTTCGAAAAAGGCACCATTATTTGATGTGGATAACATGTATTTATCGCCCCATCGTATTTTGAATCAAAATGGTACACTTTTAAGATAGTCGAGGAACATAAGGGTAAATAGGGACAAGTACGAAAAATGTAAGCAACGTCTCTGGAAAGACTTGTTTTCGAACACGTCACCATTATTTGATGTGGATAACATTTATTTATCGCCCCGTCGTGTTTTGAAGCAAAATGGTACACTCTTAAGAAAATCAAGGAAAATAAGAGTAAATAGGGGCAAGTACGAAAAATGTAAGCAACGTCTCCAGAAATACTTGTTTTCGAACACGGCACCATTATATGATGTGGATAACATATATTTATCGCCCCATCGTGTTTTGAAGCAAAACAGTAAACTTTTAAGAAAGTCGAGGAAAATAAGGGTAAATAAGGGAAAGTACGAAAAATGTAAGCAAAGCCTCCGGAAAGACTTGTTTTCGAATACGACACCATTATTTGATGTGGATAACATATATTTATCGCCCCATCGTGTTTTGAAGAAAAATAATACACGTTTAAGAAAGTCGAGGTAAATAAGGGTAAATAGTTACGAAAATGTAAGCAACGTCTCTGAAAATACTTGTTTTCGAACACGACACCATTATTTGATGTGAATAACATTTATTTATGGCACCATCGTATTTTCAAGCAAAATGGTACACGTTTAAGAAAGCCGAGGAAAATAAGGGTAAATACGGGCAAGCACGAAAATGTAAGCAACGTCTCCGAAAAGACTTATTTTCGAACACGACACCATTATTTGATGTGGATAACATATATTTATCGCCCCATCGTATTTAAAGCAAAATGGTACACGTTTAAGAAAGTCGAGGAAAATAAGAGTAAATAGTGATATGACATATAAGAGTGACACGGTTCACCCGGTATATATTTAGCTCGGTTCTTTATGAAATTAGTCTTGTCAGGTATGGGTTGCCGTGGGCCCATGAGGAAATATAAATATGCCCGGCCCATCTCAGTTGAGGGTGTCACAGGCTCGGTATGTTAATAAGCTTAAATAGCAGGGCCCAATAAAGGGTAAAGAACATGTGTGGGCTTAGAGAGGGTAAGACCGAGCGGATAGAGTAAGGAGGAAGCGTAGGGGAGAAGCTAATAAATCAAGTATAAATAGGTGAAACATTGGGATACTAAGGTATGACATTAAAGACCCTATCTATGATATACGGCGCTCTTCTTGTAACCCTACTGACTTAAGCATCGGAGGTCTACCGCCGGGAAATATCCCGGCGTCTTTGCAGGTTTACGGAAGCTTAAGCC